CACTGCAAGTGAGTGATCCCCAATTTGATCTTCTCTGATTGAATCTTGAACTTTCAGAGAATCGGAACCCGCTGCTTAATTGGTGAGCCGACTATTATTTTTCGCTTTCATTTTTTGAAGTTTCGAATCACCAGTCACGCTATGGAACTCAAGTGTTTGAATTATACGATCTGCTTAGACCTGTAAGCACGCACTGAGTCAGCAGGGTTATTTTACTTATTCGATCGGGAGCCTAGAACGTGAAAGTAGTAGAGCGAGATGAATCAGCTAGCTTGTATTGGAACCCAGATTGGAGCAGCTTCCAGGTCAGCAAAAACGCGTAACTCCCATATGAGACTCCCTCACCAACCGGAATCGGAGTAGTCTCCCCGCGAAAGCAAAGACGAAGTGATTACCATCTAGAAATAAGACCTGCGCAAGACCTGCGCAATAATAGGGCGTAGCTAGGCAGACTGTTGACTCCGGAAAACCAATGCAAATCATTCTCTGTAGACTGCGGTCGCTCAAGAACTGCATAAACGAGGAGTTCATAGCCATACACGCATATAACCAGCCTGTAGCAGACTTAAGCGCTCAAGCGCTTATCACTTTGTTCCGACGGAAGGCATGTACTGGAAGGAAGGAAGGTAAAACCTACCTTACAAATTGGACCCAAATTTGTAAGACGGGTTACTACTACATTGCCTGCTTGCCAGATCCGCCGCGAAGATGCGTCATTCCTTGTGAGACCCTGCAAGGTGGACGAAGGATGAACTACTTCCTCATTTATTCAGACGTCATCTGAGTAATGCTCATTGATTTAGAGGTATAAAACGAGGATGTTTATTCGTATAGCACACACAACAAACCCCGCTACAGCACTAATAGTCTACCAGAAAAATGTCTATGTTCGCACCTGCACCTCCTCCACCCACCAAGCTCGGTGTCCTACGAGTGCTCTCTCCTAGTGCAGGGGTCCACGTATCACCTTTGTGTCTTGGAGCAGGGAGCATCGGAGAAAAGTGGGGTGATTTCCTGGGTTCTATGGATAAAGAATCAAGCTTCAAGCTGCTCGATGCGTATTTCGATATGGGAGGCAACTTTATCGACACGGCGAATAACTAGTAATTATCCAGGTCATATCCCAGATTATATTCCTGCTAATCTCATTGATTTCTTCCAAGCCAAGACGAAACATCCGAGCAATTCCTCGGTGAATGGATGGAGAAGCGCGGTATAAGAGACCAAATCGTTCTGGCCACAAAGGTGAATTCAATTTCCGAAGCTCCTTCAAGTAGTCCCTGAATACTTATTATATCTCCGTCATTCCCCTTCAGTACACCTCAAACTTCAAGAACGGGAACGCCTCGATTGCACAGAAGGCCAACTATACCGGAAACAATGCTAAATCATTGCACGTTAGCGTTGAGGCTAGCTTGAAGAAGCTCCGCACTTCTTACATTGACTTGTTGTACGTCCATTGGTGGGACCATGATACCTCTATCAAAGAAGTCATGGACTCTTTGCATACGCTTGTAATGCAAGGAAAGGTCCTCTATCTGGTAGGTTGCAACCCGATATGTTCAATGGAACCATAGTTTTTAATAATGTTATACTTTACTATAGGGAATCTCTGACACTCCTGCATGGGTGGTATCCCAAGCCAATGAATACGCTCGATTCACTGGAAAAACTCCCTTCGTTGTCTACCAGGGGCTTTGGAATGTTCTCGACCGTTCATTCGAACGCGACATTGTCCCTATGGCTCGTTCCTTGGGTATGCATCCACGAGCAAGTATCACTATCCGGACTAATTTTTTTTCTCTGCTACCAGGCCTGGCTCTAGCCCCGTGGAATGTTCTAGGTGGAGGGAAACTTCGCACTGATGCGGAGGAACAACGACGCAAGGAGAGCGGGGAGAACGGACGCACCTTCCTGTCACCAGATTGGCAAAGAACTGAAACAGAGGTGAAGGTATCTCACGCTTTGGAGAAAGTCGCTGGTGAGGTTGGATTGGGTGACAATATCACTGCTGGTGAGCTTTCCTTTCGGCACACCCATTTTTTTTCATAGCAATGATCTGATGAATATTTTCTGTAGTGGCGATCGCCTATGTCATGTACAAGTCTCCTTACGTCTTCCCTATCATTGGAGGCAGGAAGGTCGAACATCTCAAAGCAAACCTGAAGGCGTTGGATATCGTACTCACCGAGGAACATATCCAATTTCTTGACAGCATTGTTCCCTTCGATCCCGGATTCCCTCACAATCATGCTCGTAAGTGTAGTTCTTTATGTTCGATATACGATGCATTGCGCTGACGGCTACTGCATTTGTGTATGATAGGGTGATGGATCGAAGCCGTTTGTCATGATGTTGAACGCGATGTCGTATCAGAAAGTCAAGCAAACACAGCCAATCAAGCCAACGGATTGAACGCTAGGGAAATAAGAATTTGTATTTCGCTATGTAGCTCGTTCGCCACACAATAAAAGTCTACTGACTAAATAGTCACTAGAAACTTTTTTCGAAAGCCCTAAAGTCGTCCGAAGTCAAGACCATTGTAGAACCCTACCTTCTCTAGTATCGCCTCTCGTGCTAAAGTGTTCACTTAGGGTCCGATTTGGTAGCTTACTTCGGGTCACTAACAAGTCTCTGTCTGTTATAAAGTCCCTCCAATGTATACATGATTCCCGCTTCGAGATGCACATCGCAACTCGTAAGTCCTTCAAACTCAACTTCAACATGCAAGGCTAGGCTCATTCCTGCTCAGTGTACATGTAATATATCATTAGGGATTTGCGAAGTTCTATTTTAATTGCTTGTCCAGTTGACCTGAATGGAGTAATTATAAGTTTAGCAATACTCCAGTGTACATAGCGCTAGTGAGTGGTTGTAGTTCTTGTTACGCTCCATCGGTTCGATATAAGCTGTGTCTAGCGTGAGAGTGACGAGTATTTTAGTTTCTTTTTTTTTGTTTTGGGTCGAACATTAACGGCTTCAGTCAAGACGACATAGTCCCTTGCCTGCTACGTGGAGACCAGAGATTCAGACAATTGGAGCAAGTGGCCTGGGTTCGATTCCTACGGTGTATATAGTCCACCCCAAAAAGACACCTAGTTGAGTAATTAGAAGTACTAAACACATCGTTGGTGAAGTGGTTAGGGTCGTAGATAATTGGTCCAATGGGTTCGATTCTCAAGCTGTGTCTGCGAGGTGTGCATCTTTCGAAAGATTCTGATTAGATGTGTTCTTTTTTCCCAAAACGAGATACACACATAAATTCCATTTCACAGCTGAATACATGTATCATTCAGACTAGTACAAAGACACCCTCCATCCCTCGCCTGCTCTATCCTTCCCTCCATTACTCCCACTCTCCTCCACCATCCCCCAACCTCCCTTATCCCTCCCACCTCTCCCACTACCAACCCCAACACCCTTCCCCTTTCCTCTCACCTTCCTCCCACCCATCTCCTTATACATCGCCCTCATCTCCAACTTTCCCGGAGACGCCGAAGCCTCGTTTTCTTGTTTCCATTGTGCTTCTTTTAGTTCTCTGGGAGTTGCGTATCCCGAATCGGCATAGGAGGAGGAATATGAATACGAAGGTGTGGAGTACCCGGATCCGAATGTGCCGTTTGTGGGTGATGAAGAGGAGGTGATTTGAGGTATGTTGTGCGCTGTAAATAGGAGATGGGAATGGGGTGTTAGTTGGGATTTATCAAAAACAAGTAGGGTATTAAGTGCCATATGTGAACGTTTGTAAAGTACACAGTAGAACTCGAACGTGCAGTCTTTACAATATGACAGAAAGAAGAAGAAAAGAAACACGTTCGACATCCGCGGTACGACAGAGGTTCGATGCAGGAGCCTCTTCTCGAGTAATTGACCTGCGATCGCAGCCTATTACAAGCACGAAACAAACATCGAATTCGTGAACGTCCTCCAAACCGGATGTCGACGAAAATCGATCGAACAACAAATAGCGCAGAAGACGAGGTAGTCATCATGCTCGAGCGAAAAGAAGATGGAGATAACTTGGCTGAAAGCATACGTACCCAATTCTGCTTCGACTCCCTCTTGGTCCATTTCCCTGGCGGTAAACTCTCATCATTAAAGTTTTCTTTCCTATAGTGTTGGAACCAGACTGGAAACACGGTTTGTTCATTGATTGACTGTTTCTAGTGAAACTCGAATGGTTTATGAATACTCACCATAATTAATCGTCTGACTCCTTCCCCATTTCTTCGACACCAATGCACACCTCGCAAGATCTCTAACTGACAGTCTGCCAAAGATCTTTTGGGATAGTTCAGTTGGGAGGAGCTTTAGTGGGTCTGTTGTTGGCGGTTTTGATTTTGTCGATGATGTCGTCGATGGAGACGAGGATAAACCGGACGATAATGCAGAGAAGGTAAGTGAACCTGGACCTCGAATAGGTCGGATCCTAGGAGAGCCACGAGAAGGTGAAGGGGGTCGAGTTCGCGAGGGAGTTCCAGGGACCGATACCTATAATCGAATACCGGTTCATTCGATTTTGTTGAACAGGAGAAAGAACAAAATACTCACAACATTAACCAGTTCATCGTCTGAATCATACGCATCGCCTCCAGTCCCATTGTTTGCATTCGAAAATTCGCCATTACTACTGTTGAAATTAAGACTATTCAGCTTTCTTTCGATCAGATTCGAATCTGCTCCAGCTGATGTAGAGTTTGAAGTGGTTGAAGAGCGTAGAACGTCTTGGAGAAGTGCACTCATCGCTCGATCGTTTGCGTTGAGTGGTGGTAGTTAGTAAAGAAGAAGAGCTTACTGAAGCTCGGTTGAAGCTCGGAGCCATAAATTTAATGACGTCGTCATTCGATCCGAGCGCACGTGCGCCGTTGGAGTTCCGAGTCGATGACGTTCTTACCGAACAGAGCAACTTTGCCTCGTTTGGCCAGAGCTTGAGAAATAAATCCACGCACGAAAGAAGAAGAAAAAATGCAAAAAGTGAAGAGGTACACGGTTATAAAACATGGGGGTACCGCGGATCGAACGCGGGACCTTCAGAAGAAAGACTCATTATACAGGACTTCAGTCTGCTGCTCTCCCAGCTGAGCTATACCCCCATAAACATCAGGACGTGGAAGTGTAAAACCAGCCACCAATGCCTTAACCCAATCTATTGCTTCTTTTTCACGTTCTTTCTGAGATGTTTCAACGAGAGTCGCGTCCGTTCGTTTTAATGTTGGCAATCTGTCATGACATCGGCCATGACCAGCCAAGTAGTAGATCAGGTAGTACCAAGACTGAGACTGAAGAGGACGACGACGGCAAAGACGAAAACGAGCATGTTCCCGCTCCGCATCTAATATCGAGTCTAGCAAACCGAGATCCAAACCCAAGAAAAAAGAGGAATTTATCTAAAGTACGTATAGTATACAAAGTTCCTTCCAATCATATCCGCGATATCCGTCAAGTCAGGCTGCCACCCGATATCTGCATTTTTTTTCGTAGAGATTTATGTGTCAAAAGAAAATATAGAAAGCAAGGATACCAATCTTCTACTTAATCATCTATTATCCGCACTATCAGCTTCCCCGACATATCCAAAAGCGGAAGCTTTTCAGTGAGTAACCCGACAATTGGAACTGGGTCAATGGCTCTTCTCCTAAATATCCTAATGTCCACCGTTTCGATTAATGCGAATTCCGATTTCTGCAGCAGCGTATCAATCGCAGACCATGAATCCCACTCACTGGGGAGACCTCGAATGCCTAGATCAATGTTCAAACGTTGTAGAGGAAAACGTTTTCCTTCCTGGTTCAGAAGAGGTTGGAAAAGCGCCTGCATTACAGGAATGAATTCGAATGAATTCATTCTCCGGCGATTGCCCAGATGTAGGATAGACAGGTTCGGTGTGTATTGAAGGTAGTTGTCCAAGTCTAGAAAAGTGAGTCAAGTTTAGAAAGAAGCGACAGAGATGCAAACAGACCACGGGGAACTTTCATATCCGTAAACTCCAATACTCTGAGATTCCTCCCAGCAACTTGCAACAGGTCGGTAAATTTTGACGGTAGTAGCAGAAAATCAAGGTTCACTCTCAACAACTGTAAAGTATCGATTTGGAAAGGACACCCGTCCTCTTTAAACCAAGTAAGAATGGACCAATGCCGTAATCGAGTTTCAATTGCTCGAGTAGTATAGACCGCGGTACTGGATGATTAGTCCCCGAATCGGAATATTCGGGCCATTCACAGAAAAAAACAGCAGCATCCAGTATCTTTAGGTGAGCGGCACGGCTCAACAGAGACGCTAGTTCAGCGAACGTATCGATGATAAATGGCTCGAGGAAAGAGATCCGAGCGAGTGACTTCGTGAACAGTTCAGTGAATGCCGATCTGAGAAAAGGTGGGAGGGCGGTCCAACGAATTTCACAGAACAATAGATTGTTCACGTTAGAAAGCCGTTGAAGGACACTGGCCGCAGCGGTATACCATACTTCAGGCTGGCCAGGTTCACCAAACCGCCAAAGTTCCAGGGACTGGACTGAGGAAGTTTTGCAGCGAACAAGCAACCAAGATGCGCTGTGGTCTCACGATAAGTGGATACCCGCATCGCCCAGACTTCATGATCTGCGGTGGACTTGGGCAATTCGAGAACGATTTTTCGGAAAATACCACGTTGAGAAGCATGAACCCAGGCTCTTCCAACGAGCGCGCAGCTCAAAAGAGTTGCCCTATCAGAGTAGAGGTTTTCGAGAATGCAGTCTACAAGTTCGTTCAGTATGCGTTTCTCCATGATGCCGGCAGGAAGGAACAATTTTGACGCCCGTCTAGCGTCGCATCGTGCGTTGATCTTTGACTCGTCTATAAATTTCGGGCTCTGACTTGGAATCGGACGGTCTGCGATTTCGACAGACGAGACGGCCTTTCATTAGAATGGCAATAATAGATATCCACCTTTTAATGCATTTTTTTCGTACAGACATTAACAAGAGAGTCCCGCAATATATTTCCGCCAAACTGGAGCCCGACCCAATCTAATTATTCACTATCTGCACTCTCAGCTTCCCCGATGTCTCCAAGAACGGAAGCTTCTCTCTGAGTAGCTGCCTAGCGCCATCGGGAATCTCTGGAAATCCCAGAGGTGCACTGAGCTTGAAATCCACTGTTTCAAGTAAAGCAAACTCTGGCTTCCCAAGCAGCACATCAATTGCAGTCCATTGATCCCAATAATGCGGGTCAGACCGAGGAGGCCTAATCCTAATGGGTAGACTAAGAGTTAAATGTTGTAGAGGAAATGGATTTCCATCTGGATTTAGGAGAGGCTTGAAAAGGGATTGGATCCAGGTAGTAGGGTTGTGTAAGCTTGGTTCAAAACTACTCATCAAGCTCATCAAGGATAAGCTACGTAAGTTTGGGGTGTATCCAAGGTGATCCAGTTTGGTATTGAAGCCTACGAGAGTGGTAAGTTGGAGTGATAACATGTAGTTTGTAGTTTGAACATGCATACTTTCATCAGATCTATGCTGCTTCAACTTCAACTCTCGAAGATTGGTGCAACAGTACTGCAAAGTCGCCATATTTACCCTGGTGGTGGTCTCCAACGAATTTAGATGGCGGACTTCAAAGGGACACCAGTCTTGTTGGAACCAAGTCATGAGGGGACGAACACCGTTGTGACTATAGCTGTTTATGAGCCGCAAGTCACTAAGCTGTATACACCGAGGTTTCGTTTCTGACTTGGTGAGCGACCTTGGTACTGTCCCGTTCCTGTAAGCCACATTGACATCCAGCACCTTCAAGTTCTTCATATTACTGAGAAGAGATGCCAGTTCCGTAAATGTGGTGATGTCAAATTTAGTGGCAGAGAACTGAGTTACTGAAGGAGCCTTGCATAATTCAGTCAAGACTGCCTTCAGCAAAGGAGGCAGAGTATTCCATCCGAAGTCATGGAATTTTAGCTCCTTCACCTCAGAGAGTCGTTGAACGAGGCTGGCTGTAGCAGTATATACCACTTTAGGCATCGGAACCTTGTATTGTCCAGAAGATCGAAGCTCCAGCAACCGAACGTAAGATGCCAGATAAGGTTTTTCCGAGAATAATGCATTGAAATGCCTAGCGGTCTTCAGATATGCATCCATGAGGGTTGCGAACGCTGAATGACCCGTAAAGGGTAGCTCAAGAACGATTTCTCGGAAGATACCATGCTGTGAAGAGCGAACCCAGGCTCTTCCAACAAGCGCACAGTTGAGAAGAGTAGGTGTATCAAAGTAGAGATTCTTGAGGATGCAGTCTACAAGTTTGCTGGGTACACGACTCTCCGTCATGATGTAGGAGGAAGAAACAGTTTTGACGCCTGTCCAATTGACGGAGGCGGATTGGTTGCAGTTCGTTTTGATTTTTGATTTTTTGATTTTTGGTTGCCCGCTTGCCACACATCGACAATTCAGTTGGTTGTTCTCGGTTGTTCAATGATTTCAATGGGTTCCCATGCCCCGTTATATCCATGTTATCGAGGCATGCAGAGGTCAGCGAGCAGAGCAGTCACTAATGGTAAGATGTTGTAAAGGAAATGTATTTCCATCTGGATTCAAGACAGGCTTGAAAAGGGCTTGGATCCAGGCAATGGGATTGACCAAGCTTGGTTCATAAGAACTCATCAAGTATAAGCTGCACAGGTTTGGGGTGTATCCAAGGTGAGCCGGATTTAGCCCTAAAAGAGTGGCTCATCCTTGATAACATGTGGTTTAAAGTTTGAAACATGCATACCTGTGTAATATTTGTGGTGCAACTTTAATTCTTTAAGATTGGTGCCAAAGTACTGCAATATCTGGCAGGCTGATAATCTCCAGTGAATTCAGATTGCGAACTTCAAAGGGATACCAGTCTTGTCGGAACCAAGTCATGAAGAGACGAAGGCTGCTCATGAGTCGTAATTCACTAAGTTGAATGCGCCGAGGTTTTGTGTCCGCCTCGGAGAGAGAATCTGGCATATTCCAATCATGGAAAATTATGCCAACATCCAGTACCTTCAAATTCCTCATACAGCTGAAAAGAGATGCCATTTCCGCAAATGTGGGGCGGTCAAATTGAATGGCAGAGAATCGAGTTACCGAAGGAGCCTGACATATTTCGGTCAAGGCCGCCTGTAGCAAAGGAGGAAGGGTCTCGTAGTTTATGGAAGAGAATAATAAACTGTTCCCAATGATGCGGCTTCAATGGGTCAGAATGCTTAATGAGTAGACTAATGGTCAAATGTTGTAGAGGGGATGGATTTCGGAACTGGCATCTCTTCAAGAGATGCCAGTTCCGCAAATGTGAGGATGTCAAAGTGAATGGCAGAGAACTGAGTTACTGAAGAAGCCTTGCATATTTCAATCAAGGCAGCCTTCAGCAAAGGAGGCAGACTGTTCCATCTGACGAAATGGAATATTAGCTTCTTCACTTCAGAGAGTCATTGAACGAGGCTGGCTGTAGCAGTATACACTTCATGCGTGGCAGTGACAAGGTGGTATCGTGGAAACAATGTAAGTTCCAGTGACCGAACATAAGATGCCAGATAAGGTTTTTTCGAGAATAATGCATCCAAATGCATAGTGGCTTTCAGATATGCATCCATGAGGGTCTGGACTGAGGGCAATTTGAGAACGATTTCTCGGAAGATACCATGCTGTGAGGAGCGAACCCAGGCACTTCCAACAAGCGCACAGCTGAGAAGTGTATCTCTGTCAAAGTAGAGATTCTCAAGGATGCAGTCTACAAGTTCGTTGGGTATACATCTCTCCATCATCATGATGGTAGGAAGAAACAATTTTGACGCCCGTCCAATGTCAACCCGCGTCAGCATGATGCGTTCGGATGCTGTTCTCTTTTTCTCTACCCGTAATGAGATTCCCTGGTCTATAATTTCGAGTCAGTACTGACTTGGAATTGGACAGTTTGTGATCTTGACAGATGAGACGGCTACAGTATTGGTGGACAATCGATATCCACCTTTAATGCATTTTTTCCCTACAGACAGTGACAAGAGAGAGTCCTAGAGAGTCCCGCAAGATATCTAGAGCCCGGCCCAATCTATTTGTCCACTATCTGCACTGTCAGTCTCCCCAATGTCTCCAAAAACG